TTTTTAAGCATCCTCCTATTCACCCCAGGCTCCCAAAACAAATGTTTTTTTTTTTTCAATATTGACATTAGAAGAGTGTGTGCTTTACCTCATACTTAAGAGCCAGAGAATTCCTAAGAGGTCAGACCCTATCTGTTTCCACATAATTCCATTTCTCTCTCAGTGGGATTATTAAAATAATCAGAAGAATTCAGTCCTTCTGCTTTCCTCTAAATTCCCCTTTCACATGTCAGGCACACTCTGCATGCTACCAGTGCTCATTATGAGTTTGGAGTCTGGCGCTTCTTTCTTAGACCTTCACAGATATTAGAAGACAAGCAGTCCTGTTAACAGCTTCTTTCATGATTCCGCAAGAATAAAAAATAACTTCCTTTCATCAGGCTTTATTAAAAAAAAAACCCAAACCTGTCCCAGTCTTTTGTTTGTTCCCCCACAGGGAAGAAGACATTTACTTATGGTTAATGTCTCCAGCTTTCTCTTTTCTTGTTATTTTCAGAATTGACTTCTTTCCATTCATCACTCCTCTCCACTCTTTTGGATCACTCCCCAGTCTTGAATTCCCATCATTCAGCTGGTGGTGTCTGACGACAATTTGGAAGATGACCTAACAACTCTGCTACATCACCAGGAGTCATGGAAGAAATGTAGGAGATATAATGCAGACCATAGGGGTAAAATAGTCCTTATTATCTGGCCTGGTCCCTGGAAAGGTCTCTAAAATGATTGTCTATCCCTAAAAGATCTAAGTTCTTTCTTTTGAAATGACATGTGTGGAAAAGTGTTTTTGGGTGGAGTTAGGAGAAAAAGGGGAGAAGTCATTATGGGCAGACAGGCAAGTATATGGGGCAGTCTATAGACTCTCTATTATCCCCTGTACCACCTACCTGTGTACTTAGTGGAGCATATAGATATAATTCTAACCCTGTAATTCCTCTTTTTGAGAAGAGTAGAGTCCAGTCTGTGGTACCAATCTCTTACTTACCCTCCTGGCAGGAATCAAAGTATTCCTGGAAGAAGGGTGAGCAGGAAAGAAAGCTACTCATATCCCTCCTGTGAGCCACATATGGATAGACCCATATGGTTACACATAACCAACATGGGCAACCTACAGCACACACATACCCTACGTGCTTAAACTCTGTCTCAGTTACCGCCTCTGTAAAATGAGGGTAATAATAATAACAGCTACCTCCCAGAGTTTTTGTAAGGATATTTGTAAAGCACTTTGCAACCCTTATTAAAGAACTATATAAATGCTAATTAAAATGCTGATGATCATGATAATGGAATGATGCTAGGTTCAATTGTGATCCTGCATATTTTTCAATGGCCTGTTTTTGCCCACCAAAGAGTGAAAAAAAAGTTTTTTAATCACCGAAGTATGCTATAGCAAAACAAAAAATATGTGATAAATAAAGCTATAGGAATTCAATTCAACAAACATTTATTTACTCCCTACTAACCTCAGGCTTTCTGAAAACTGATTAGCCTTTTAACTTTTTGAAACAAAATCTTCACTTTTTGAAACAAAGACTTTAGAGCAAACTTCCCTTCAATGTATTGTGGAAATGTTTGAATATAATTTGTACCCAGGTAATAAGAACGTGTTTCTATATCTTTCTGCCTCATTTCAAATACTATCTTTGCCTCTATCTTGTGCCAGGAGCTACAGTTATCCTTACATATTGTAGGGGATTAGAGGCATGGTGCTCCCATGATCTGGGAAATCCACATAAAAATTTTTGTTGTCCCTTCGTACCAGAGAATATTTTTTTCTTTTTCTTTTGTGGGGTGTTTCCAGTATCTTATTGTAAAATTTGGGTTAATATTGCACAATATCATACATATCTTTTATGCATTCCTGATTTTCTAAACTTTTTCTGTGTTGTCTACTAGCCTTTTCAAGTCATCTGAGGCTTGCGCAAAACTCCCCAAAAGTTCCCGTTTAATTTCTTATGCAAACTCACAATATGTCCTATGCTGATATGATATATTGAAACTGTGATGGGAAAAGTCCTGATGTGGAAGGGGTAACTGTACACTGAACAACACCATGAAGCATATCAAAACATGAGCTCTCAAGAAATTTCCAATGATATAAGTAGACATATCCACCCTATTTAACCTTATTTTGGCCCCCACTGCTCCTCAGCAATCTTTTTTATTTCCTTATCTCACAGAATTTTAGATTCGAGGGTCATCCAGTCTAAACCAAACTGGAACTATGAATCCCCTCTACAGAAACCTCACCAAAAATATAATTCTAATTACTCAACTTAACCTCAGAGAAGAATTAAGAAAATGTACTTCTCTCTCCTCTTTTCATGGGTGGTGGACTATGAGTGAAAAAATGACATTTATTATGAGACACAGTTTTCCTGAACTGAAATGTTTTCTTTTTCTTTTTAAAATTTTGTCTTAAGGAATGGTTCACTAGGTAAGGGGTGGAGGGGGAGAAATAAACTCAGAAATAAAGATAATTACAAACAAGAAAGCTATAAAAAACCAAGATTTTTAAAATCCTTAGCAGGTGGTGGTACAAGCTCTACTTGATGAGCTCCACGGGCAAAGAATGTATGACTTCTTAAGTCAGCTCTTCTATTTTCAAGCATCTCTAACTAGGAAATTTCCTTGGGGTAGAAAATAAAAACCTGCCTCTTTTCTAACTTCCATACATTTGAGTTCTAGTTCTGCACTTTGGGAGGTGCACAGAATAAGGAGTACTAAACAGAGGAGAAGAGAAAGGCATTACTAGTACTTTCAGAAAGAAGGCATGGCCCTTGAAGAAATAGGGTTTTTTCTGATATCTTCCAGGATGACAATTCATAGATAGATCTCCATGATCAGCCACCTCTTATAAATTAATACTGTCTCCTCTCCAGGCCTCAAACTTATCCCAAGCAGCACAAAGTCTGTCACCTGCTCTGTCCTCACCCTAAGCCCTGACAACAGTCTGAGGCAAAGGTTCTTAACCTGGGGTCCATGAACTTATAGGACTTTAAGACAGACAGATAAATGGATAGATGGAGAGAGGGAGAGGGAGGGAGAGAGGGAGAGAGAGAGGGGAGGAAGAGGAAGAGAGAGGGTGAGGGAGAGAAAGAGACAGGGGGGGGAAGAGGGAGAGAGAGAGAGAGAGAGACAGAGAGAGAGAGAGAGAGAGAGAGAGAGAGAGAGAAGAGAGAGAGAGAGAGAGAGAGAGAGATTTCAATGTAATTGTCTTTCTTTGTAATCCTACGCATTAAAAAATATCATTCCAGAGACTCAAGCTTCACCAAACTGGCAAAGGAGGGGTCGGGTAGACAGTCCATGACACCAAAAATGTTAAGAACTTCACCCATGAATGGTAAAAGTGAAAAGGATGAAAATGCTTGAACTTTCTCAAAGAAGGAACAGGAAACAACCACAATATACTATAAAGTAACCTTGACCCTTCTGCCATTCCCCATTGCAGCTGTGCTGACTTTTACCTCCTTTTTCAATCCCCTTCCTAAATTCACTCATTGACTCTTCACCATCAACAGCATCAACAAGCATTTATACGTGTCTACTAAGTGCCATGTACTGTGCTAATTGCTAGAGATGAAATCAAAGACACAGACAACAATAACAATAATAGCTAACGTTTATGCAGCACTTACTATGTGCTAGGCATTATGCTGAATGTCTTACAATTCTTGCCTAATTTGATGCTCCCAACAACCCTGGGAGGTAGCTACTATTATTATCCCCATTTTACAGATGAGGACACTAAGGCAAATAGAGGCTAAGTGACTTGCCCAGAGTTCCACAAACCTAGTAAGTATCTGAGGGCTGATTCGATTCAGTTCTTTCTGACTCCAGGCCCAGTGCTTTATACACTGTAATACCTAGGTGTTTGGTGGGGGCTAGGATAAACATGATCCCTGCCCTCATGGAGTGCACATTCTAATGGAAGAGATAACATACAAGCAACTCTACAAAAACAAGGTATGTGCAGGGTAAACTGGATCAATCTCAGAGAGAAGGCATTAGCAGAAATAAGGAGAAGGAGAAAGGATCAGGAAAGACCTCTTATAGAAAGTGGGATTTGAACCCAGGCTTGAAGGAAGCCAGGAAACAGGGATGAGAGGAAAGAGTATTAGAAGACCTTGGCTTCTGCCTCACTGAAAAGAATCAAGGCTGTCTGATGTGAGCACCCTCACTTCTCCCACCCAATAGTTCAACACGTCCCTTTTTACATACACTCTCCTTTCCCTGATTCCTCAGATGAACTCTGCATCTTTTCTAATAATGATCATATTAATCGTAGCACGTTAAAGTCTGCAAAGAATTTTACACTTAATATCCCATTGGATCCTTACAACAGCCCCATAAGATAGGTGCTATTATTCATTCTTGCTTTATAGATAAGGGAACAGGGCAGAGGCAGAGGGAGGGTGTGTCAGTGAGGTTAAGAGACTTTCCCAGGATCACATACACTATCAAGCGATTGAGGGAGAATTTGGAGTCAAGCCTTCTTGACATCAAGTCTTAAATTCTATCTCCTAGGCAGGCTGACTTTCAAGGCTAACCCCCTCCACCAATGACTTTGATCTCATCCCCTCCCACTTCCTTCTTTAGCTGTTCCTATTTATGTAAAACATCCTATATCTACTATTATATAATCACTCCTTCATGGAAGAGGCTGTATCTAATATACCCATCTCTCCAGCCCTCTCCTGTATGTGCACATGCTCGCATGTACACACATGCACGCACACGCACACACACGCACACCTAGCACCTAACATGGCCCTGAAAATAGTAGGTGTTTAATAAATATTTGTTGGAAAAAATTAGACAATTAGAGAACAATGCTAAACAGTGGATAATTAGTGCTAAATTGCGTGGTGCAGAGGACCAGGGCTGTAGGAGTTCAGCTGTGACAGAAAGTCATTACCATATCTCTAATGATGTGATCATTTGGATACGTGACACTCTAGCAAAGGAAGAATTGTTTCACGATCCTTTACTTTCCTCTCTCATCTTTTATTCATCAGCTTACCCCTTCTCTACTCCTGCATCAGAGTCCCTGCATGCTCCATGGGGGAGAGGGAGAAGAGGAAGAAAGTGTGAAGATTCCTGTGGTATCCAACAGTCTTTTCTTCCCATGTACAGAGCTACCCAAAGCATTTATGACTGTTGCCATCACTTAGCTGTTTTCCTTAAAAAAAAATACAAAAGGGAGAAATATTATAAGGAAAATAATGATAACTTTCACTTATTTAGGGCTTTATAATTTGCAAAGCACTTTCCTCAAATACCAACCTGTGAGACAGGCAGGGCAAATATTCCTTTATCCCTCTTTCACAGATGTGGAAACTGTGGCTCAGTATGGTTAGTTAATTTGTCCATAGTGGGAATTAACAGAGCCAAAGCTTAAACCCATATTGTTGTTGGGTTTTTTTTATATTTCTTTTATTTTTTTTTTTTACATTTTGTGTTCCAAGCTGTTTCCTTCCCTTTCCTTTCAAACCTATACTAGAGAGAGTCAACATGTGACAAAGACATAGATGGATGGAGAGATCGGGAGAGAGAGAGATCTGTTTCATATATATGAAACCATACTATATGTGTGTGTGAGTATACAAGTACATATATACGTATGTATACATTTACATATACAGACATACATGAAACCATACAATACATAGTTCCACATATCAGTTCTTTCTCTGAAAGTAAATAGCATCTTCCTACATATGTCCTTTGTAGTTGATTTGAATATTCATATAACTCAAAATAGCTTAGTCATTCACAGTTACTCTTGGAACAATATTGCTGGTACTATATACAATATTCTCTTGGTTCTATTCATTTCATTCTTCATTATTCATGCAAGTCTTTCCATGTTTTTTTAAAATCAACCTGCTCCTATGTGACCCTTGGCAAGTCACTTAAACCTAATTGCCTTACAAAAATAAATAAATAAATAAATAGATAGGTAGATTAAAAACAAAATCATGGGGCAGCTAGGTGGTGCAATAGATGGAGCCCCAGCCGTGGGGTCATGAGGACCTGAGTTCAAATCCAGTTTCAGACACTTGGCACTTACTAGCTGTGTGACCCTAGGCAAGTTACTTAACCCTGATTGCCTCACCAAAAATAAAAATTAATTAATTAATTAAATCAACCTGCTCAGCATTTCTTACAGCATAGTAGCATTCCATCACAATCATATACCAAAGCTTTTTCAGCCATTCTTCAATTGATGGACATCCCCTCAATTTCCAGTTCTTTGCCACCATGAAGAGAAATAATATAAATATTTTAGAATACATAGGTTTTTCTTTTTCCCTGATGATCTTGGGAAACAGAATAGTGGTATCATGAGGTCAAAGGGCATATGCAGTTTTATAACTCCTTGGGCATAATTCCAGACTGTTCTCCAAAATGGTTGGATCACTTTACAATTTCACAAATTGTGTATTATTAGTATTCCAATTTTTCTACTTTCCCTCCAACATTTATCATTTCCCCCTTCTATCATTTTAACTAGTCTAATAGGTATGTTTCAATTTGCATTTCTTTAATCAATAATGATTAAAATATTTTTTTCACATGATTACATGTAGCTTTGATTTTGTCTTCCAAAATCTGCCTGTTCATATCCTTTCAACATTTATCAGTTGGGAAATGGTTCATATTCTTATAAATTTGACAAAGTTCTCTATATATTTGAGATATGAAGCCTTCATTTGGGAAACTCTATATATATATATGTGTGTGTGTGTGTGTGTGTGTGTGTGTGTGTATGTGTGTGTGTGTGTGTATGTGTGTGTGTGTGTATACACACACATACACACACACACACACACACACATTATATTTGCTACATTGGCTTTATCTGCATATTGATTTATTAAGACTGGGTCTCCTTATTTCACACAGCCTGGAATTGCAATGGACACTCTGATCAACTCAGTAACTTGGACCTGCTCCATTTACGACTTGGGTCATTTTATCCCTCCTTAGGTAACCTGTGATACCATCCCTCCCCAAACCATCCCCACCATATTGGTACCAGACTTAGTGTGAACATTCAATTGCTTGATCCATTACAGCTCAGAATTCCCAAGCTCAAGCTATCAGACAGCCTCAGTCTGGGATTACAGGCATATACTACCATACTCATCATGTTATTTTTTATTTAAACTACAAAGCTTCACAAAGCACTTGTTAATATCCCAAATATTCATCTGTTTTCTTGAAAGCCACTAGCGAGAACATTTGGGGGGGAACAAAGTGAGCTAAAGTGCAATAAACAAAAAGACGTTTTGTTGATAGTCAACAAAATCACTTAGAAAATGACTTTTCACTACTATTTTAACATTCTTTCAAAAGTTCTCTAATGGTTCCATTTATTGGGTTGGGAAATGCATGTTGTGGTTCCCCTTTGAACGACTGGACCACTCTGACTCTAAGACTATACCTCCAGAAATAGTGAACAGTTCCGCTTCCGGGAGCCAAGATGGTGGAGTGAAAAGGTAGTCGCTCTCATTCTCCCCTATCAACCTCTGCAAACCCAGAAAATATCAGCCCAGGAAAAAAAAAAGACCTGGAACACCTGAACTAGAAGAAAGACAAGGAGCAGCAGTGCAGTAGCCCAGCAAACGGATCTCTCAGTGCCTCAGCGAAAACAAGGGGCCCCAGGTGGATAAGTACCCTGCGGCATTCATCTGAAAGGAGGTGAAGAAAACAACCTAAAGGCTTCCTAAAGCCCCGACCTTGCTGATTCCAACACAACACCAGGTGAGCTGTAGGAAGCCTCCAATTGTGAAGAAATCCTGAAGCCCAGGTGGTAGAGCAGGCAAACACCAACACCTGGACCTCCGAGTGCCTCAGTGAGGGCGGGGGAACCAGTGGAAACCAGCTCAGAAAACCACCAGGTGCCTCAGCACTCTACCACAAAGGAATCTCCCAGTGCATTAGCAGAAAGGAGGGAGACAACACTGCAGGGGGCCCCAGGCAGATAAACACCCTGCAGCACCCATCTAAAAGGAGCTGAAGAAAGCTAAAGGAAAGGAAAAGCAGGCAACCTAGAATTGCCTGAAAGTTCCAGCCTTGCTGATTCCAGCCCAACACAAGGTAAGCTGCCAGAAACCTACAGCCTCCAATTGCCAGCATAAGAGGCCCCAGCGCAAAGCCAGTGACCAAGACCTAGGCTCCCAACACAAGAAGCTTGGGTCAGTACCCTCTGTTCCCCAGCAGGAGAGCTCAATCTCTTTAAAGGCCAGGGAATAAAGAAACACCATGAGTAAAAAGAAACATACCATAGATTCATATTATGAGAAGAGTGAAGATCAAGACAGAAATTCTGAAGAGGACAACATTGTCAACAAACCCACATCTGCAACAACAAAAGGGAATATGAACTGGTCTGAAGCCCAAAAAGCCTTCTTAGAAGAGCTCAAGAAGGATTTTAATAGTCAAATGAGAGAGGTAAAGAGTCCTTCAAAAATACAATTGGCCAATTGGAAAAAAAATACACTGAAGAAAACAAGTCCCTAAAAAACACAATTAGTTGAAGAAGGAAGTACAAAAACTAACAGAAGAAAACAATCTGTTAAAAACTAGAATTGGACAAATGGAAACTAATGTCTCTATGAGAGAGCAAGAATCAGTCAAACAGAAACAAAAAAATGAAAAAATGATGAAAATGTAAAATACCTCATCAGTAAAACAACCGACCTGGAAAATCGACTCAGGAGAGACAATTTAAAAATTATTGGACTACCTGAAAATCATGATGAAAAAAAGAGCCTGGACAGTATCTTTCAGGAAATCATAAAGGAAAACTGCCCAGAAGTCCTAGAACCAGAAGGGAAAATAACCATAGAAAGAATCCACTGATCACCACCTGAAAGAGATCCCAAATTGACAATGCCAAGAATATAATAGCAAAATTCCAAAATTACCAGATGAAAGAGAAGGTGCTGCAAGCAGCCAGAAAGAAAGAATTTAAATATCATGGAACCACAGTCAGGATTACACAGGACCTTGCAGCTTCTACATTAAAAGACCGCAGGGCATGGAACATGATATTCCTTAAGGCAAAGGAGCTTGGAATGCAGCCAAGGATCAATTACCCAGCAAAAATGAGCATCATTTTTCAAGGGAGGAGGTGGATATTCAACGAAATAGGAGACTTCCAAACTTTCCTGATAAAAAGACCAGAGCTCAACAAAAAATTTGATCTTCAAGTACAGGACTCAAGAAGGACTTAAAAAGGTAAATGGGACAGAAGGATACAATATGCTGTTAATAAGGGGGGGCTGTTTAAACCCCTACAAGGGAATATGAACTTGCAACCCTTGAGAACTGTATTGTTATTACACCTTGTTAAAGTATACATAAAGAGGGTGGATATTAGTTGACTTTGATGTAATGATAAAAAAAATCTAATCAAGTGGGTTAAATGGATCCAAATAAGTGGATCAATCTGATCTTAGAAAATGTACTGAGAAAGGAGGAGGCAGACAAGGGTAAATTACATTACAGGAAAAGACACAAAATCCTATTACAGCAGGGGAAGGGGGGAGCATTGTTTGAACCTTACTCTCATCAGATTTGGCTCAAGAAGGGCATAATATAATCAGTTAGGTATAGAAATCTAACTTGCCCTATAGGCAGTAGGAGGGAAAAGGGGAAAGAAAAGGGAGGGGGAAAGAAAAGGAGGGGAAAGAAGAGGGAAGCAGCAGTAAGACTAAAGGGGAAGAAAAGGGAAAGGGATAATAAAAGGGGGAAGGGACTGAAGGAGGGGTGGTCAAAAGCAAAACACTAGTGAAGGGAGAAAGGAAAAAGGAGAAAGAAAAGCATAAATGGGGGAAAAGGATGGAGAAAAAGACACAGATAGTAATCATAACAGTGAATGTGAATGGGATGAACTCTCCCATAAAAAGAAACGGATTGCAGAATGGATTAAAAACCATAATCCTACAATATGTTGTTTACAGGAAACACATTTGAAAAAGAGTGACACATACAGGGTAAAGGTAAAAGGCTGGAGCAGAATATATTACGTGTCAGCTGAAGTAAAAAAAGCAGGGGTAGCAATCCTGATCTCAGACAAAGCAAAAGCAAAAATAGATCTAATCAAAAGAGATAAGGAAGGAAACTACATCCTGCTAAAAGGCACCATAGACAATGAAGTAATATCATTAC